TTAGGGCATTGTAACATGAAAGGTTGCTCCTCTGTAGCCTGGTGACTAGGGTCCAAATCACCAAAGTAGACTCTCCTTGTAGGAGGAAGATGGGATACACTGATCCTCCCAAATGATGCATTGATGGAATTACCATTTCTGAAATTCATGTTGAAGACACTAATAAATCTTGAATCCTTCTCGAAATTCCATTGCATTTTAAACAAAGATCTAATTGTAAACTCTTATCACCTACTCTCCAAAGCAAACACTATAATCTGAACAACTTTAGCCTTGAATGACCATTAAATCTTTTCAAGTGAGAAAATAATATACACAAGGAAAAATATTTAACGAGTGCTTACAAATATAACGTTTTAGAAAGTTGTTTGCATACAACTAGAACTTGCATCAAAAGCACCACAGACATAAGAAAAAGATCCCCAAGGACAAGATATGCAAGGATAATTACAGATTACTCCCTGTAGTTAACTATGATTAACATACCGATCCCTATACTTTAAAAAATAGTATTGGAACCCCTACACTTGCGAAAGTGAAACATTTAACTCCAATTCTCTTTAATTCATTAATTTCGTTGACAGAGAACACAAATGGAAAGAATAAAAAAGTAATTTTACTATCTTTAAATTATTAATTTTATATAATTTCATATGAACTTCTCCTCGCCCTCCTCTTTCCAACCTGCTCGCCCGCCGCACCTGGTTCTGTATGTGAGAGCATGCTGATCCCTCGGTGCTGTATATGATTCACTACCTAGGGCTAAAGCTGTCGCTGTGCTTCCGGGACTATGACTGCAAGTAGAAGCTTTGGGGCTTCCCTAGCGATGCATCTCCAACACCGTCGACTTCATCTTCGGTAACTCTGCCACCGTCTTCCACGACTGCCTCATCTTCGTCCTCCCTCACTAGCTCAACCCCGAGCACGACGAGTCTAACATCGTCACCGTGCACAGCCAATTAAACTCCGAGTGCATAATTCCTTCTGGCATGTCATTCCTTCTGGTTTTCTCCTTACGGGTTGTGGTGTCTTCTTCCACCCACTGACCGCACTTTGCTGCAAGTGATCATTGTGTGTTGGGAGCTAGTAGATGTGGAGATCCAACAAAGGAAGTGCATGGACCATGGACTAGTAGATAAGCTGATGGTGAAGGATTGGGGACCTTGAGAAGGGCAGCAGAAGAACAGCACATGCACGTCCATCTTATCTGTTTAGTCGTTTTCTATAATGGTGTGAATGTACTTACCAAAAAAATATATATAATGGTGTGAATGAGTCAGTCTTTGTTACTGCCACTTAGGTTAGCACATGGCAAGCAACAATGGTGGAGCTCCCACTCGACCAGCTCCGTAGCATCTCAGAACATACCATGGAAATCTACAGTTCTATGGACTTTATTGTGCATATCATAGTGTATTAGAATAATATTCCAGCTCAAATCGCAATAGAAGACGGCAAATGTTGTTCTATAGATCAAAGGGTATCCATTAATCACCCCCCCTATAAAGTTCTCCACGGAGTAGGCTCCTAAATGCTCCATTGTCACGGACTTAGCTGGTTTTACCTAAGTCGTGCGACACCCTTGCATGTCCGTCCGCAAAGGTCAACCTCCCCGAAGCCTCCCATGGTCCCTAAGGACCTACGAAAGAGAAAACGAGTTATAGAGAACGCCTCACTCGGGATCCACAAGCAAACATTCCAGGAAACACTTCATAGACAATGCAAATTACAAACAGACTTTACAAGCTCTGAACAGTTGCATAACAAAAGGTCAAAATGATCCACTACAGACCGAAAATCTCTCACAAGTGTCCACATGACACAACCTTTATTTACAAGCCTAAAGCAACCACCAAACCCAACTAAAATGGGACTATTAAGCTTTCGGCCGTCCCTCTACATGCTGTGCAAAACATGAACATACCAAAAGACACAGACATACATAAGCATTACATCAAACATCCTGTTTAGAAGTTTGTCCGTGACACCATGGCACTCAGCGATCGCATTAGCTCCGGATCCAAAGCTTTCGAACTCTCCGTAGAACAGCATCTGTTGCGCGAAGTCACCAGTCCATGGCAACCAACCCTCCGCCCTCACGATCTCCTCCAAGTTGCAGTTGATGAACACCATCCTCAAGTACTCCTTCCATAGTTACCCGAGGTACGTGTGGTCGACCGCGGGCTTCGAGCAGTAGAGCACGAGGTACTCGTCGCTCCCGTTGATGGTGCAGTGGTCGAACACGAAGCCGCTGGACTGGTGTTGGACTCGTCGTGCTCGGGGCTGAGTTGGCGGGGGAGGATGAAGATGAGACAATCATGGAAGTCAGTGGCGGAGTTGCTGAAGATGAAGTCGACGATGCCGAAGATGCGGCCGGAGATGCATCGCTGGCGAAGCCCCAAAACTTTTGCAAGTTCCAGTTGCAGTCATAGTCCCAGAAGCATAGCCATAGCTTCAGCCCCATGTAGTGAATCATGTACAGCACTAGGGGATCAACATGCTCTCACGTACAGAACCAGATGCGGTGGGCAAGCAGGTGCAACAAGAGAGCAGGTGTAGTAGGCGATCGTCTCCGAAGGGCTAGTGAGTACAATGAGCGAGCAGGATCAATAGAGGGGTGGCGAGCGAGCATCTTCGAAAGAGAAGGGGAGGAAAAGTTTATATGATATTAATAATTTAAAAATAGTAAAATTATTTTTTTATCCTTCCTATTCGTGTCTTCCGTCGACGAAATTAATAACGTGAGGAGAATTAAGGTTAAATGTTTCACTTTCACAAGTATAGGGATCTCAGTGCTACTTTTTAAAGTATAGGGACTGGGATACTAATCATCGTTAACTTTGGGGGGGGGGGGTGCGGGTAATATATAATTACCCCAGATATGCATGATAACCAAATATTTCAGAGCTACTGATTTATTCTTTTTAATAAAGAAAGGACTCTGTTGTAATCAGGAACTCACCATCATCTACGTTCCTGGCAGTAACAGGAAACCACAAGGTCTTATTTCTACAAGTAGAATTTTTGACACAGATTAGCTAAACATATCCATTCATACTTTGACCGCACTATCATCCAGACACAAACCACCACTTGGGAAACAACTGTGTTCCGAACCCTAGGCTTAGCTGAAACCAATACACTTAACCTATCAGAGCAAGCAAGAAAAGATCAAAATTATCAAAAAAGGAAGCAAAGGAAACCACTAAATTCACCATTCTCCAGACCAAGTGCCATTCCAAGACCGTGCCCCATTCCAAACCCTTACTTCTCACGTTCTCCTCGACGCAACATCAGAAACCAACTAGAAAGCACTGAAACCCTAGATTGCAGACCAGAACTTATCGGCACAGAGTAACCAAAATCTACGTTCGCCGTCACAATCGAAAATAAAGGACAGGAAATTAGGGCACGGGGAAGCTTGTATGAACGAAGTAAGATGAGAACTAGGAGAAATTCTCCAGAATCGAACCTTCTTCTTCCATCCGGCTGGCGCGGGGAGCTCGACAGAGACGACCTCCGCCTCCTTCGATGGCGGCGAGCCCTTCTTCGCGCTCGCACCCCCGACCTCCTCCTCCTCCACCGCCATCGCTCGCCTTCGCTCTCGGTCTTCCTCGACTTCCCGCTCTCGGATGCGCCAACGAATTTGTCCGAAACCAAGTGACGAGAAAACAGAATAAATAACTACGCGGATAAAGAAAGGGCATGGATAGTTAACGGCAGACACACACTCTTCTCCTCTCTCCGAAACCAAACGGCGGAACTCAAAAGTGAATCCAGCGCTGGATTTGAGCATTCGCGTTCGCGTCCGGAACTATCGGCTCCGGATCTCCTGTGCGATCCCGTTCCCAGTTTGCCCACTAAACCACCACGTTGGTTAATATTACGTGAACCTCGGAATGGGCCCCGCTAGAAATGACGAATGGAGGATCGGGAAAGGTTTTTCTTACGGCGGATCCTAAGCACGGAGGGATCCGGTGAACACGTGGCTTGATGTGATTGGCGGGATGTGAAAAAAATGACGTCGAGGGCCGTTGAGCAGCGCTAACGCCGTTACTTGGCGGCAGTCTTTTTGTCTGCAGTTCTGCCACGTGGCATCGATGGCTGCCATTCAATCCACCGCGGGAAAAAGGACGTTCCACTTTCGCGGACTTAAGCCGCGATAGGCCGGCGGTGCACAGCGTGGCGCAAATCGAGGTCGTCGGCAGGTGTGTGTGTGTGTGTGTCCCAATCGGAGTCGTGACTCAAGTCGGCGAGATCATTTCTGTCCTTTTGCACATCCATCCTCGCGAGTCTGCAAATAGCATATTTACCCTTGTATACACTTATGTTAGTATCCTCATATACATTCACACAGACTGGTCATAATGATTTCTAAACTCAACATCATAGAGAAGAAATCAACAGCCAAGCCAAAGTAAAAAATATATACTGACAAGCACTGTGATGGTATAATGAGCTCAAAGAGTATAGTCTCAAACTCTCATCATCCAAAATGGTGGTGAAACACCAAACTCTCATTTCCTCTACCCAGCTTAGATTTCAAGCTCATGATTAAGAGTATGGCATTGACTAGAGAATGGCTAAATAAATGAATTATTATCAAGGGATGTGCCTAACTGGAAGAGGAAATGAAAAGAAATCAAATGATAAAATCCAAATATGACAGTCGAGAAAGATAACATAACCGTAATATCCTGATTATTTGTGATGGACTATATAAAAAAATAAGAATAAAAGCTTGAAGAGAAATATAATACCAGCAGTTTAATCAGCTATATCTTGAAGATAAATATTTGGAAGAAGGAAAAAAGAGAGAGAGACACGGCACCATGAGAAAATTTGAAGTCACAAAACACATTAGTACTCTTGCAAAACTTCATCGATAAAAGGATAAAGACTTCATCATATTTGTACTTTTGCAAAACTTCATCAATAAAAGAGACAACATATGGGCTACCAAAATCAGGAACCTGCTCTCCCAAACCATCAGCAATCTATGGAAGCTGAAAGATAGTTGAATTATTACCATTCATTAGGTACTTGTTGCTACAGTTAGCATATTGTCAGATTAATTACATACAAGGCAAGCATCTCCACAGAATAGGGCCGGAAGCAGACACAACATAGTCCCCATAGTTAGTAGAGATTAGAGAAAAAAGAAACGGAGACGGGCTTTCTATTTGTCTTCACCCATCGAACTCAGATAAGCGGATTTACCTAATACTGAGACACGACAAGAACAGTGAAAAGGACAACCAGCCATCATGTCACAAATTCTAGACAACCAGAACTGCAGGTACTGGTGCAATCGCTCCTGCCAGTTCGACTGGCCATGACAAGTCAGGAACAGCATCTGCTGCTGAGGATAGAGTAGCTAAACTGAGCTCATTGGACGATTCCGTGTAATGGAACTCAATCTGAAGGCGGTGATGCAAGGGAGTCGAAGACATCCGTCCTTTCTTGATATCATCTTGCAGTTCCCTGATTGGAATCGCTGCTAAGAAGCTCTTGATGTACTCCTTGCATGACTCCTTCCCCCTGCACACAAGATCCCCCTCTACGGCAATGTTTCCCTTTTCCTGATGAAAGCTCTCGGCAACCCCATTTCCTGCTGCTGTGGCCTCACCGTCGACAACCTTGCTCTCACTAGGAACCTTATGAATGGATGTGCTATCGTCAAACTTTAGGACGTACGCCTGCTGGCACCCCTCGTAGAGCCGCTCACCAAGTGTGTCTATTATATAGTAAGCATCATGTTCAACCTTGAGGACAAAGAAGTGGTCATTCCAACTTACTATATATAGCTGAGGCCTTCCATCACCTGGGTGCTCTGACCCAATCCGGCTGATCTCATCCCAGATGCTGTCAAAGGACATAGCTCCATGTAAGAAGTCAAGGCCACTGTTGCTGTCAGTGCCCTCAGGATGAAAGAATCCAACGAAAGATTTCCGTGGAACAACAGAAATTGGTCGAATCTTAGCTAGAATAACTGTCTCAAGGTCAAAGTGCTTGTCAGGGAAACGTTCTCGATATGCCTGGTTCTCACAAAGGTTTCTCCACTCAAGAGAGCCTTCTCGGATGAGGTCATCAAACTGGGATTTGACAGGCATCATGTCCTGGTACCTCTGAAACCAGTCAGCAATGACAGCAACAAGAGCCGTGCATGCACTCTCACCAGAGGCTCGCTCGCTCCGCTGATCAATGGATGCAAAGAAGACTTGAGTGACAAGCTTCATGTGCCCATCACGGTTCACTAGCTCCTTTGATTCCCAGTTGCCTACGACAAAGTAGTCATCTCCAAAATCAGACACTGATGATCGGTTCACAGCGCCATCATGGTCCCCTTTGTGCCCCTGCAAGCAAATCATGTAAACATCCTTAATTTCCCTTCCAAATAGGTTAGTCAGCAAACAATCAACATAACATTCAATGACCTTTCCCACACTCGGGAAATTCTCATAGTCAATTGTGATTGTGAGACAATTTGTGGACAGACCACTGAACCAGGAAAAGAAAGATCAACACTTAATGAAAGTAAATAGTATGGTAAGCATGAAAAGTTTATTCAAATAGAACTGGTAGAAAGATCAACCTATACTAGAATCAAAGAGAAGAATCAAGAATTCGATCAATCAAGCTACAGATATTTATGGAAGATAAACTGGCAATATAAGTCCACGAGAAGCTTACGCCTGCAAAGAGAGATTCATCAGAGGAACTCAGCAGCCGTCGGTCATAGTCAATGTCATCGCCTCCCTCTTCATAGGCTTTCTTTAGCAATGGTTCTCCTTTGGGCTTAGGAGATTTAAAACTCAACTTTCTCTTTTTCCAAGGAAGGATACTCCTTTTTGACACAGAAAGTTCAGGAACAGATAAAACTGTATCCTCCATATGTGAACAACCTACATCTGATCTTCGATGATTGTAGTAGACCCAATCCTCGTAAACTCCATCTATCATCTCATAGCCAATATTGTTAACAGATGCTAATGTACCATAACTGAATGACTTCCTAACATTAGTATCCTCTTTGCTGTCGTCTACCTCGTCGAGATCATCATCAGGGGAGTCTGTATCAAATGGATAGATGTATTCTGCATCGTCACTCCTAGCAGAGCACTTCCCCTCGCTATGATCATCATCTTGACATGTCTTTTTAGACTTCCGAGTGGACACAAGCTCTGTCAAAATTTTCACCTTTCTCAATCCAGCTTTAAGTGCAGACAGCTCATCTTTCTCAGAAGGAAGAACATCTCCAGAGGGAGGTGACAATGGCCTCTGTACCATATCAGAAGAATCTTGGGAACTTCTCAGTTCCAATATACTGAGAGCCAGCTGCAAAATGAACAGCATGTCACATTCTCAAACTTTATAGAAATTCTTCTAGTGAGGTTAAACGATAAACATAGAGAGCACAAGAGAAAATGCAGGGGGAAAGGATAAGGGCAAGAGGAATTTAGGTGGGCATGGGCATGGGAAGGAAGATGTGTCATGAAAGTGGAACTTGAATCAAATAACCAAATGCTCCATCGTTTCCCAACATCTCTCAGCGAATAAAATAAAAGAAACAACCAGCACTGTTATTATCCGAGCTAAGTAGAAATAGTCTCAGACATAATGCACCACATGACAATTACCTAATATCGCATATCTTACATCATCAAGCTTCAAAATCTAAAATGTTTGTTACATACATGGAGTGAAGCATGAGAGTCAGTGGCTCCAGGAAGTGACAAAGGAAGGTTGAGCTCAATCTCTTGTTCAGCAGTGGAAGTCAATTCAGCTATGTTCAATGAACCCATTCCAAGAACCGATTCCTTGTTCTTGGTACCATGGTGCAAGCCCTAGAACAGAAGGAAGTCATTTAAATTATCCAGATAAAATTCAACTGAACCTCCAACAAAAACAGACTTCCCAAAAAGAAAACTATCTCAAAGACACACAGTAGAAGAGAGAAACTACAGTAACATGTTGAAAAGTGACACATATGCCAACAAGTAAATAGCTGCACATCTCCCTTCCAAATTGGAAATAATGAAGCAGTGCACTGAAGGTAAGATAACTTATTACCTTTTAGGGGTTAATTCGATGGAGTTATATCTGCTAGGTTATAAAGGTTTGAATTTAAAATTACAAATTCAATTATTAGCACTGCTCATCACCGATTTATTGCAGCACATCTTCATGCTTACCGTCATAAAGTTAGGGATTATTTCCAATGATCTTCCTTTCATGATTACATGCTTGGCCAGACAAAAAAATCCTTCATCTTTACAAGAAAAAGTTCTTTATATTAAGAAAGCATATTCTCACCAAAAGCAATCTATAAACTCAATAAATTACAAGAAGCAATATGAATAGGATAAAAACCTAAATTATCATTCCAAAATGAACCCAAGAGCAAATAGGTAGTACATGCTAGTGGTGGATATCGACACCAATTAGGTCAAACCATAGGTTAATCAAATAGAGGAAGTTGAATTTTTTTGACAACTGCAACCACCAATATCCAGCTGTAAGATACCAATAGATATCCAAAAAAAGATGAACTTTAAAAAACACAACTAATCAAAAAGATTCATCAGGCTTCTAAATAGCTAGTAAGAAATCAATACTTCTTAAATAGAAAAAGTAATATTTAAACCGAACAAGATAGTTTTTGAATGAAAATAATTAAAAAAAGTTTCCCCGTTCAAAGAAAAAAAGGAAATGCAAAAAAAAAAAGAAAAAAAAACCAGTATTGGATATTCCAAAGATGTGCGGATGCGGCGAAGAGGATGGGTGAAACAAAGACACATATAACCGACCTCAATTCCCACATAAAAGAATAGGAATAGCTTCCAATATTTCAGCACAAGCAGGGAAGAAGCACAATAAACAAACTAAATATCCACTAAAATTCCTCAAATAAAATTCAAAGTGGTTTCTTGATCAGCACATGTGAAAACCCTAACAAAGTCTTGGAAACCGGCATTGATTTCAACAAGGATCGCCTAATAATCGTAACCCAGAAACAAGGAATCAGCGAGAAGGAAACCCACAACCCAAGTAAAGAAAACCTGAACAGCACCAATTTGTCGAAATCACCGTGCAAGAAAACAACAGTAGATGAAGGGAATCAGACAACAGAATGATGAGAAAAGAACAAGGGTATTAGCGCTGCAAGGAGCCGATTTGGACTCACATTGAACACGTTAAACGCGATCTCCCACGGATGGAACCCGCTGTCCTTGTGCGCGGTCAGGGTACAGACGGTCTCAAATTCCTCATTCCACTCTACCACACCCCCATCGCCAACCTCCTCCTCCCTCGTCCGGTTCCTCTTCACCGTCCTCCTCAGCGAGCTCAGCGCCACTTTCGGGCCCTTCCACCTCACCTCCACAGCCACCTTCCTCAGTTCCGCAACAGCCGCCGCCTCATCCCCAGCTCTCACCCCTTCAACCCTCCTCACCACCAGCCGCACCTGAAACTTCTTCGACGACAGCGGCGGCCACGGCCGCCACCGCATCATCCTCGCCGGCATCCCCGCCGCCGACGCAACCGCCTAGGAGCCCAAACCCTGGAATCGCCAACAGGAGTCAAATCACAAGGTCGGAGCACTGAGGAACCGCCGGATCGCCGTAGGAACGCCAAATCTCCACCAAAATGACTCCAATAACGTCAAGAAAAACAGCGCCTTTCGATCGAATACGAGGAATGAATAGATTGATCAACAGAATATAGAAGAAAAGGAAGGGTTTTGTGGGCTATTGGAGTAGAGATCGAGGGAATAGGCGAGAAGAGAGAGAGAGAGAGAGAGGAAGAACAGCGAATATACGAAGGAAGGGATACGGAACATATAAATCGGGGGAGTTCTCGGAAGTGGCTGCCGGCGTTACGCTGTCGTTAGTATGCTTCTGTAGTTCCCAAAGCAGGTCGGATAACGGCACTTTGACTTAATGGTAACGGAATCATTAGCTCCCTCTGTCTAATTACCAAAACAACCTTCAACCAGAAGAAAAAGACATGGATTTGCGGAGGTTATTTTGGATGCTTATTTGAGTGTAAATAATTAGTATTATTTAATCAGGATTGAAATAGGTTAACTCGTTAATTTTATTCATTTATTATTTTTTTGGAAAATACAACCATGAAATGTCTTTTCAAACTGTTTTATATTCTTTGGTTTTTTCACAAAATCGAAAAAACATTACCTATTTTAAATAAATTTTTATTGCGCTTAATTAGATCAATTGTTCCTAATTGGATCTCTTTTGACATTGGTTCTACATTTTTATTAGGTACATAAGAGTTGAAATCATTTGATAAATTATATATCTAATAAAAATGATAATTATGAATGAAATATGGGTGAATTTTTGAAAAAAAAATTAGATTTTTTTATAATATTTTAAATTTGAAAAATTCTTCAATAACGGGATTATGTGAAAGATTATTTTGACCTCATAATTTAAAAAAAAAAATTCGTCATGTCCCAACTCATGCATTCGTTCATCTTAAACGCTTAGCTCGTTGATTCTCATCATAATTGATCATAGCCTAAGTGGAGGTGTAAGCAATTAGAGAAAGGGAGGGGAGTAGTTGGTGGGGCTAACCCATACACCGAGACATAAGCGAGGGTGGAGAGGAGGGGGCAATCGGTGTTGCTAGCCCAAACACAAAGGCACAGGTGGGTGACGTGCCTGCCAACTCGCACGTGAAGCCACAAGCAACCACGGGAGAGTGGGCAGAGACAACTAGTGTTGTTTATCAACTCGACACAAGTAACTAGAGAAGGGTATGCGATCAATATCATTTGCTAACCCACATAGGCACAAACAATTAAGAGAATTGAGGGAGGGTCGCGGTCAACCACATGAACGGGTGAGGGTCGATAGGCGAGATTGCCAAGCATGAGGGAGGCGAAGGAGAATGGCCGACGAGCAAAGACATGAGAGGAGGTACAACAGACGATGATAATTGACAATAATAAAATAATTATTTCTAGAATAAAAGGGTAATTCGTAAGAATTTTTTTAACTTGGGACGATATATAAGAAAAATATAAATTTAATTTTTTTTCAAAAAATTACCATAAAATATTGGTAATAATGGAAGGACAGGGAAATGAGAATTCAGAAGATGCTCAAAATCCACGACACAAATATTCTCTCTCTATTCTATACACACACAACGCCAAACATGTTCTGTCATGAGATGAGCCAATCAGCGTTTGCTTATGCATTTTAGTGAGTCACATGGTTGGATTCCTTCTATGGGTATTACTATATTACTTCAAGCAATATACTTACATGTGAGTATATATATATATATATATATATATATGTTTGTCAAACATTAGATTCAAATAGGGATGACATCAAGAGGGAGACAAACAAGTAGATATGCAAATGGTCTCTATCCCATCACATAATTTGTTCTCTTGTCCTCAATCTAAAACTATCATCATCATGTTTTTTATGCATACAAAAATCTATAGTATCACTTCCTTTCTCACATTAATTGATGTTAATAAATGTATGAGATTACATTTATAAATAATTAGTCTGGTGGATATTATATATTAAAATTTTATATTAAAAATTAATGTACTCAACTCATTTATAGGTTGAGGGTTTGAAGTCTCATCCCATAAATTACTAGACTCTTTATAATTATTGTGCGTTGGGTTGAAATAAATATATGATTAACTTGGGATGAAGAAAAGTAATGCTATATTTTAGCTCTTATTTTTGTTGATGGGTTTTTCAAATTATTCACTAATCATGTTTCATTCTTTGGTCAAAACTAGTCAAAATCAATCCAATGAAATTATAATAAGCCAATGAATCACAACTTTAACACTTAATTCTACCGTATAATAATTCCTTAGAGTGATCAATCAAATTTATGCAAATAAGATATTATGATGATGAAAATATTGTGTGCAGTGAAGAGGTCAGCATCCCATACAGCATAATACTTGAGAAATGTGTCTCCTCTATGATTGCCAAACAACTTAGAACATCCATATCAAATATTCCTACTTCATCAAACACTGAAGAGAGTGCACATTTTTCACAAGAAGCTGCCATGACATTTGTCAATAGAATGGAAGTGATGGACAGTATCATTATACCTTTTATTTTGTTCCACTACTGTGAGTGAGGGACAAGATGATTCAGTTCTTCTGACCTTTTGTTAGTGCTGTTGGCTTGTCACTGTGCATTTCATATCTGCATCTGCCTGGATATGTCACCACCTGAGAGATGTAATCATGAGAACTACAGCTGAATCTGCCCTCAGTTGTCTTGTTTCTGATGAGGTTAGATTGAGGTCCTTCAAAAAAAAAAAAATAATAAACTTTTGTGAGAAATTGGAAAAGGATAAGATGGACAGATACAGATGAAAACTTGATAGAAAAGTCTGTCTCATTATCCTATGATAATATATCTTTTTTGGTATGAGAATTCTAAGTAGATTAATCATTATAGTAGACTTTTCATAATTAGATTATTGGAGATATATCTTTCATTTTGATATAATGGTGATCTAGTAGATGATTTGTCCGAGTTTCACTCAAATTTAGTGAGCAGGCATCCTCGGAAGTCCACATGTCGAATTTTTTATAGGAGTTCATTTTTTTTTTCTCATATTAATTTTTGAGATAAGATTCAATCATCATGCTTATGTGGGATATGATGGTGTCATCTATTTATGAATCTGAATATCGTAAATTTCAATCATCACATTTATAAAAACTAAAAATCAGCATTAAAAATAATATAATTCTTCATTGTATCATATATCTCATGTTAGTTTGAAAATCCCATAAACAAATGAAGAATTATCTATTAGATTTTAACTCTCCAACCCCTCAATCATTATATAACTAAATATAGTTTTATATCAAGAGTCTTTCGAAGTCTCGTATCGTTTCGTTTGATAAGATCATAAGTTTTCACTAGACGAAATTATCATGATTTTTTTTCTTTCGGTATGAGTCCTAAAATAAATTTCTGAAAAAAATTGGATTTTAACATTTTAGCAGGTTTTGATTCTTAGTACAGTGATGCCTTTGTTTGGCTAAACGCTAATGTATTGGCCTAACAAAAGAGAGAGAACCCAGAAAACTTGAGCAGGACTTCAACACCCACATGATCATGCTTTGGCAATGTGCTGTTCTCTGACATCATGGCCTGTTGGCTCAACATTTTCTGTGGTGCGCACACTTCCAAAAGAGAAGCCGTGCTTTTGCTGGCGTTGACAAAGGATATGCTCACATGTGGTGGCATGTTGTGTGCTCCTTCAAAAAGCTTTGCCTGTAGCCATGCTTCGCTTAGAAACAGAGATTTCTTGCAGCAGTTCTGAGCCGGTGGATCTAAAGCAGAGATTTGGTCAACTTGCAGCTCTCATATTATGATCTAAAATGTATGCAAATCTTGTGTGGTTTTTCTATGGTCTGATTCATGTGTCATCATGGCACTCGATATGATTTACTGTGAGTTCCTGTTTACAGCACTGGGAGATGAACAAGCGAAAGCCTCATGTTAGGATAATTGTGTGAATGATTGGCTAAATTCTTAGAGTTTAACAGGTAGGTTTGTAGATTTCTTTGCCACAAAGTTGAAAGGATGTTGCAGTGGTTGCATGTCTCATTCGATATCAGGTTCCAGTGTCCATCAACCTGGGATGGAACAAACATATCATATTGGCTCAAGAAATAAAATACTTTGACAGAGTAGATTTAATTCAATACAAGTGTTCTTCAAGTAACAGAATTTCCAACTTGAGAAGATACTTTTGTTTTGCTGTAGAACATTGAGCTGAGCAGTACTCAAAAAAATCATTTAATTGTTTCACAGAGTTGCCAACAAAACAGGAAAAAAACTATTCAAACATAACAAGATTTTGTGTGCCTAATGCTTGCCTGAAATCTTTTTGCCTCTCCAATATCTAATTTCCACCAAAAATGCAGCTATCATTTTTTTAGCTTTGCCTCCAATGATTGCTAATTAGTTCATTCATTGTGAGGGAGGTGGTTGTTTAGTGATGATCAGAATGATGTGCCAAGTTATTAGGTAAGACTTCTTCTGTCAAAATCTTCAGCACTTTGCTGAGATATCCATGAAACACTAATTTCTGTCAAAATCTACCTTTCTTCATTGCTAGATAGGTTTTAGGAGGACCCAACAAGAGGATGCTAAAGATTGTCAAATTGATGTGATGTCCATCAGACACTAAACACAAACCAATGAGTCAATTGACATCTAATCTTCTCCCATGCTGATTTTGCCATTTTGGAATGGATGTTTAGCACTTCAATTGTTATTTGATCCACACTTTGTTTTACTTTATTTTAGCATCAACATAGGCCCTTTATGAAAGTTTGAATAGCCTTCAAACAGAGAGATTATTTCTGTAGCTTGAAAGAACAATCTCACCAACTACTGTGCCTGAGATCTTATTTTTATCTACACTACAGGCATGCAAAATTTATAGTTTTGCATTGATATGTGAAGAAAATCATAGACATGAACATAAACATTTAGGTACTTGAACTTAAGATACATAAGAATTTGCATTTTCCAAGACCCAAAGAAGAGAACAAACAAAAGGTGAAACATTTAGGCACTTGAACTTAAAGATAGATAAGAATTTGCATTTTCCAAGACCCAAAGAAGAGAACAAACAAAAGGAGAAGGACAGCCACCAAAACAAAGGGCAAGTGGGCAGTCCAAAGATCCGAATGGAGAGGACATGAGAGCCCCACAGGAAGCAACCTCGATGAAGGAGCAAGTGATGAGCTGCACAACCTTCACCCCACTCCAAGACAAGACAACACTTAACCCACGAGGTGGAGAACATGGAAAGGACCAACCAGGAGTTGGAGCTCTACAGATTGAGATGCTGTTTTCCATGACACACACACACACACACAAAAGAACATTGGGAACTCCTCCAGAAGGCTCCCTCCATGTTCTAACTCCAAGTTGCCAGTTGTTTTCTTTCTCTGTTTCTCTCACCTCATGTATGACCTTTATAGCCATTGTAGTGTGTCTCCCCTTTGTTGTACCTTGAGGTGACATTGGAAGATAATAAGATAAAGCCAGCTGTCAAATACATGGCTTTGACCTGCCTTGGTGCAGCATTATATAAACAACAAGAAGATGACAATAGGCAGCATTGTTTACAAACTTGGTCATGGGGTGAGCACCATTATCTAATAAATATGAAGTTGTAGATCTTCTTCTCTTAATTGCTTACGCATAAAAATGTAAAGTATATCTCCTGCATCTAAACCAGGAAATTGGGAAGACTGTTAAGTAGTGTCTGAATTGAAGGACAATGCATCAATTAAATTAGGAACACTATTAATTCATACTCCTGTGCTGGTGTAGAACTGATCATATAATATAAAAACTTATGTGCCAGCTATTAGTACTGGTAATGGAACATTTGAGACTCAAAATTAAACAAAGTGAATAAAACAGAGCTTGTGAGGTGTTAAAAAGTGCATTTTGGAGTAGCCATTCCATCAGAAAAAAGGAAGTTTGAAAAGGCTGTTGTTCTTGATTTCCATCCAGGTTCTGACACAAATACCTACAAAAGGATTCTCTTTTTTCCAATTTGGTAAAAGAATAAGCCATATCCAAATGAATCACAGTTTCTTTGGACATTAAAATATCATTCTCTGCAAGAGAATATGCCATATCCAAATGAATCACAGCTTCTTTTGATGCCAATCCTCTGTGCTTTTATTCTTGTTAAGGAACATCTCTTCAATCTACCAATTTGGTTGCAGAATAAGTCATCATCTGGAGTTACTGGGAAAGATAGATGTATTCTCTTCATCTTAAGTGTGCAGTTCAAGAATAATGGGATCTTCTTTTCCAGTGATAGGTTTGACTCCTGGTAATACTTGGCCTGTGTTAGTTGCATGTGGAGTCCACCTTCTAAAAGAATATGGCCTACACTTGTTTCATGAGGAACCACACAATGCCATGACCCAATCCAAAAGAAGATGATGACCACTGCTTTTGAAGGACTAAAGCTTGCCCTTTGTTGAATTGACTTGTGGCCATGTGGTCACCTAAAGCTTGGGGAGGACAAGAAGAGACTCCTAATGGGGGAAATGATGCCTCCATTTTGATGCTGCCTTAGAGTGGGAGCCATGATGATAGCAGGAGAAGAAGATTTGAGAGTGTTGGAGGTCCACACACTTCCTCTGACCTTAGTGAATGGTGGACCCTACTTTTGACTTTAATAAGTCTAGAGCAGGAACACCCACTGATGATGATGTGGGATGTGGCTCGAGTGTCTGATTCCAGTTTGTTTGACTAAATTGCTACAAAGAGTAAGAGTCTATATGGCAATGTTAAGATTGCTTCTTAATGATCCAGAATGTAATCAGTTTAAGCATTAATGCTTGTGTTATTGTAGGATACTATACAATCATTTCATGATACAAATAGCATTGCTTGATGAGATCTGATGACATAGTAAGGTTTGCTTTCCATAGGTATTTCTTTTGCAGAATTAATTGTTGTTTTGTACATAATTGAACTGAGTTTGAGCTAAGTGATGTTCATAGCTTCAAGTTAACTACAACCCGATCTATGGTGTTTAGATTCATCTTTCCTAGGTGGAGTATGATCAAACTAGTAGTGTACAAGATCAGCTTTGATTCGAGTGTCTTCATCTTCAGAATATTCCTAGCATTCATAACGATCTTAACATTAGTACAACATAAAAAAACAGCAATCTGATCATTGATAAGATCATATTCACCTCCACAACTAATCTTAGCCATAGTATTCTCAATGATGGCTTTACCTGGTCAACTTATAATGCAAATAATTCTGGTAATATAATAAAATAAAGATTAAGTTGCATACAAGTAGCAAAGTAAACCGATAAAATTACATAACAATGACCTATCAAAGCAGATCTCAGAGTCATTTACATGCAAATTTCATGATATGGTTCGATACTCACCATTCCTGATTTTGATGTTAATAAAAAAGAAATGCTTGGTTCCATCAACCCTAACAAACCCCGTGCACAGCGATAAAAGGATGTTTTCTTCTACCGATCCTCACTACATTCCCTGCATGGCTCTTCCAAATTCCAAAATTAGACCACTGCTACATCAACGCGCCCAAGCCTTCCAACTTCATAAAACTTGAAAAATCAAAACCTGATTTTTTTGTTCGCTTTTCCCGGTTACTAGTAGTTGTTTGAAGCACCCGTTGATACAGCAGTATACGGTAGACAGCAGCCAAAACAAATAATTACACTTTTGGTAAGCTTGCTCAAGCTGGTTTTTGCTCGTTGATAAAGGTGCCGACACTCTTAAACCACCGCATGAGGTTCCTATGGTCTTTCACATATAGCCATGCTTGGAGAAATGGAAAAAGTTTCTCATTGATTCCCCGTGTCTCTATGAAAATATGGAATGCATCCCTCATCTTTTGCTCCAATTCCCTGCAGTTCAAGAACCATAATCATGTAACCTGAATAACAAAGAAGTAATCTTTTTTAAACTTTTAAGCTCAGGTTAAAACAAAATGTTAAGATAAATCTTCAAATCAGTACTTGACATATGTTTGAGCATCCCAAAGAGCTAACAAGTCACCCGTCCATTCCAAGCAAGATACAACCTTTAGGTTTTGTTATTTTTAAAACTATCCAGGTTGCTAACATCATGTGACAACCTACATCTTGCAGTAACATCTTTCAAGAATTGAAGGACCTGGATCTGCATGCAGATCATCTGAATTATACATAAAACACAAGATATTTAGTATTAGGCCTTTAGCCTTAACATCTCGGACATACACACATACAGTGCAGAAACCTAGTCAAATTATTTTCTACAAACCAGCCCCATTGTATTCTTAGTTCTCAATTTTTCAAAAGAAAAGAACATAGCTGCATAGAATCAAGTCTTGTGGACATTGTAACTCCAAAATTTCTGGAAGATTTCATCATCTGAGTGACATATACTTTCGTCATATGTTACATTATCCTCTGACAAAAGAATGCAAAGGAACAGCCACATTACAGGAAAAATGCAGCCTTTCTTATGACCATCATAGTCATTTTCTATTGCTTATGAACAAAACGAAAACTACTTTGTTCCTACATCTCAAAGCCCTAGCAATATATACTGCTACATCCTGGTCGGTAGATATCATAGTTCTTCTAGGATTAAACAAATACTGGGTATGCTTGTATTTATGGGTGTAAAAGTTCCAAGGACATCCTAGTGTTTATTGCACTGTTGCACTGTTGCGCAATTGACTGAGACATCAGTTTATATGGATGGTCTGGGAAAGCAATAGAACGAGGATGATTCAACAAAGGTTGTCTCAACAAAGAAAAAGGATGTCATGATTATTACTCTCTTTTACTGTATTATTCCACATAGAACAGGTAAGAAACATCATAAACTAGATGCGGGATTAACTGATTCATAAATTAACATGCTACTGATTTTAAACAGGCTTGATATCTAATGTACATCCAGCAAGTCAGCTTTCAAAGATGCCAATAGAGATATGCCTCCAAAAAACTGTCCACATTTAACCACATACGGTCTCATGAATCCAACAGAATGATTTAATGCAATTTGTATTTATTCAACAGTTATTTTTCCTATATATGCACTCTGAAAGCATGCTTTTGCACGTGGATGCTTATCAACTTATTTTCTTGCATAAACACCCTGTGCTGGACAACATAGTGATGTGTCCCAAAAGAACAAGAATGATCTCAAATGCAAATTTTAATTGGAAAAATAAGTTGCAAAGAAATTTTAGCACCATAAATGAAAGAGTAGGTTTACAATAGAACTTCAGATTTGGCCATCCTTAAGTTAGTCAAGAAGACAACTTCTCTATTTGCATGTACATTAACCTTCTCAAGACACAATCTCAGGCAGAGCCTCAAGCGGTTAACCGGTCCCTTCTATCCGTGAGTTAAAACTATATCAGAATAAGAGCCTTACCTAATTTGTGATAACCAGCAGCTCATTGTATCAAAAATAACTAAAATTTCCATCCTCAATGATCCGGCATTAAAACAAACAAAGATTTCCATCTTACTGTTGTTAGGCTTTTAAGACCAATATACATTGTTGTTTTAGTACTTATATGAAATTGAATAAACAAAAAGGCAAACAAAGAAAGGAAAAAGAAAGCAATGTGCCTCTTATGTGCATAATATAATAAGAACAACATCATCAAATTCCAATTCTTTGCAATTGGAGACTAAACCAGCCATTAGCCAAATAAGATTGACAATAGTATAAATGGGGAGAAAACAAAAGCTCAAGAATTGAGGTAGTAGAAGAGCATACTGGAACACACGACCCTGATACTTGGTCATGTCGGTCAAGCGGGAGGACTCCGTGACCTTGGGTCGAAGGCACACCGAGTGGATCCCGACGGCATCCGGATACAACCCGCAAAGAAACTGAAGCGAGTCATCCCGTCCAGGCTTGGACACTTCGACGTGGAGGAAAAGCTGGTTGATCGAGTCGTCGCCGTCGTCGTCATCGGCGCCGGAGGGCATGATGTTGGAGAGACGCATCACGGAGATGTTGATCTCCTCCTCCTTGTAGGATCGCCGGAGGACGGGACCGTCCTGGTCCAGCGCCCCCTTCACGATCGTATACGACGACGGTGGATTCACCTTCTGCGGAGCACAAAGAGGAGAGTGGAGGAAGGGAGATCGAGCAAGAATCCTAGATTGGAAGGGGAAAACCCTAAGAGGAGAGAGGAGGTACCGGCGGAGGGGTCATCTTGGAGACCTCGAGGTAATGGTCCTTCAGGGAGCGGAGGATGATGGAATCCACGGCGGACGAGGCGCCGGCGAAGAGGGATCTCCTGGCGAGGGAACGCCACGGAAGGGCGGCGCCGCCACCGGCGAAGGCTCGATGCCACATCTCTACTGAGTTCCGATTCAGGGGTTTAGGTTTGGGGTTTATAACGCGGAACATATATAACGAGTTGAGCTTCGGATGAATCGGTTTAACTCGCGACGTGAGTCGGACGCGGACTCACCGAGTCAAGTTCGGATACGGCCTTGCTTAATTACCAATATTTAATCCATCTCAAAATGCCACAAAAACAAATCACATTGTAACCCAAAAATGATAACTTTAATTTTTTTTCTTTACTATCATATAATTCAATACTCAAATCAATTAGAATTCACTAAGATGATAATTATGAAAAATAAAACTATAATTTTTTTATATTTAATTTTATGTTAAAATTTATATCGATAACCATACCTATATAATGGTTATGATGTTATTGTTAAAAAATCTAGGATGATATCATATGTATAATAGAATAATAAAAAATAAAATTTTAAAGAAAATAATGTTTTATCGTCGTAAAGATTGTTGTATAAAAATCTACAAAATCAAAATTACTATGTGTACGAGGGAGATTGTATTATATATATATATATATATATATATATATATATATATATATATATATATAAGGTTCGTAATACCGTATCGTATCGGTATTTCGATCTGGGCTCGGTACCGGTACGGTACGGTATACCGAGCAGTACACCCAGGTGTGCCGAGTACTGTAGCACTGCTATAGTGCTACAGTGCACTTGGATCGGTAACAGACGGTCCGCGTACCAACAACCTGTCGGACTGGTACGTACCGCCCGTACCGAGCGGTACAGTTCGGTACGACGGACCCTGTATATATATATATATATATATATATATATATATATATATATATATATATATATATATATGACCAAGTACATAATTTTTTATTTGATTTATCATTCTACTTTGGGTGTATTGCAAGGAATTTTCTTTGCTTATTCTTTTCTAAATCTATATCATCATAGGATATAATTTCTAGATTAGAAGCATAGTGTTTTTATTTGCTCTCAACAATGTGCCATTGCAACATAGTATTTCTTAGAAAAGTATATTGCAGTAGTAAATGGCAGAAGACTAATACACAAAAAATACTTGTTAATATACTCTTATTTATTCCAAAAATAAGTAAATGAAAAGCTTTTGAGGCTCAATAGCATCTTATTATTCTCCTTCCAACAAGTAGCATCTTATTGTTCTCTCTCTCTTTCTCTTGGACAAATAATGAGCATTAGATCTGATATGTTCATACAGGTGAAGTCTTCCTGTTTAATGGCCACAAAAGTTGTGGACTTAGATCAGATCTCAGTAAAGCTGATAGTGTGTTGCTTCCCTTCAGCATCAGCTTTGTTCACTGGAGAAGTAGCCATTTGCATTCTTGAGGGATTACTAAGCTGAACTCAATTATATGTTGGCATATTACCCCCAAAACCTATCTCTCAATCCTTCTTCTAATTGAATCTACCACCGAAGGCAAAACACAGCAACCTCAACAAGATGGGCAAAGTTACAGAACCTTTGAGCAGTCACCTTCATCTAGCATTCCACATGGTGACATATGTCAGTGAGAACCTGAGGATGAGGTTTCCTCAAGCAACAAGATAAATGCAGTGCAGGCACCACAGACTTGGACTCTTCCAAAGCTTTCAGCAATCAAATCAACCTTACCTCATGGAAAGGGACAGGCCACTGTGCCTCAGCTTTCCGGTCTCTTATCTTGACACCAAACAAATATGGAGATTTCTGTAAAGATAGAGGAAGCAACATGCACACAATGCGTAGAATACCACTGTGGATAGAGAAGATAACTGCGTCCACCGAATGCATAAGCAGTGCATGGCATGACAGTGTGGGACTTCTTCCCCTGTTTTTTGACCACCATGCCGTTTGTCTCCTGAGAGGCCTTAGAGAGGACAAGTTCAGAAGCCAACATCAGAAAATCCAGAATAGAAACCCTAATCAGAATGGAGGTGAATGGGACAAACCCTACTGTGTTAGCATAGCCTTTGAGTGAAGAAGAAAACACTCCCTGCATGATTCTAAGATGTGGTGATGAGTGATTGGGTTGGTTCCAACAAATCAAAGAACTCATGGATGGTGATGGGGTCAAGGTACTTCAACATTACAATAATCCACCTGAGGAGCAATATTGGTTGATTCTATTATGAGATTTTCTTCTACTTGTATAAGAAACTGGCAGTCAATTCTACAAGATTTTGATGTTTTCTTGCTATCTTCCTTCTTTTTTTTTTTTTCATTTGTAGCAAAGAAATATGCAGGTCTTGAAATTGAAGACTCAATTTCAAGTGGGGGTTGACATTCAAACACAAGTGAGAGAATCAAAATAAAAGTTCTGTAAAGATATTTTTCTTTTGATCATTAGCTGTAATTTTATGGATCTTCACAAATATATCTTTCTACAAAATGCTCCAGATATTGATATATTCTTCACCCACACCTAGCATGACATCAAGATATCTTTTTTATCTTGTGCCAGATCTCTGCTCATGTCCATTGGTACTCATAATTGGTCCTCCTTCAACAGTTCCCAATACCAAAGAACTCAAATGACAAGAAGGAGATTAGAAGTCATGTCACACTTGGTACCTGGAAAATTGAGTGCTCAAGACAGGTTCATGTGTTGAATCAAATCTCATGGTCCCAAAAAAAGATGTCACAGTCCATGATTGACACCTTAGAGCTGAACAACTGTAGCAGAACTTGGCATCTTGTTCATACATGTTAAGTATGCAGCATAAATGCCAATTTCCTTTCTATGAAAGAAAGGACTTGTGCTGATCTCTTCTTTTGAAGCAAGGGCATCCATTAGTGTGCACATCATCTCAAGTCAGGAGTCAAAGATGAAACCACCAGTGTTTACACAGCTTTTTAGGTCTTCTTGATGAGGAGGATTAGAGTGCAAAACACAGCTAAGAACATCCATCATCTTAAGTGATGAGTCAAAGATGAGAATGGTAGTGTACACAGTTTTTGTTTCTTGGCTGGAGAGGATTGGAGTGCACAGTGCAGTTGAGATCATGCAAGCCACTGTTGTATTCTTTAATGTGGTATGGGAGGAATGCATCATTTTATTTAGCTTCATCACAGTTAATAAAAACCAAAAAAACATTTTATTTATTAATGATAACAAGACATTTGGTTATATATATATATATATGTGTGTATATATATATATATATATATATATGATAACAAGGCAAAGCAAAGTAACTTTCTTTTTGATGTCTTTGAATGAATGGTTAGGTAACTTCACAGTATCAAACAGAGTTGGCCAAAATGAAAAAAGAGACTCAAAAGAGGATGGCATCTCTTCTCTTTCTACATTGATAGTCTCTTCCCACCTCCACATGGTTAAGATACAGAGAGAGGGAGAAAAAGAGAGAGAGAGAGAGAGAGAGATGGAAAGGAAGGTAGCAGAAGACTCATGCCCACTCATTGTTTCAATCATACCCCATCCATCTCTACTTCCCACAAATCCATCTTCTCAGAACCACTAGCATTCTGCTGCCCCCACCCCACACCATCATTTTGTATCTGTGAGGATGCTAAAACAAAAGAAAACAAAACAGTAAAAGCTAATGGGAGGAAAAAGATAAGGCAAGCTTCCCCTTCATGTATCTTGCAAATATAAGCAAACCAAACCCCTTTGCTTCTCAACTCATCTCTTTGCTTCTTCTTCTTCTTCTTCTTCTTCATCGTATGTAGGGAGAACCCTCCTCGCCCTTTGTCGAACAGGAATGTCATCAACCCAAGTAATACCACCCGAGCACATTAGTTATGTCCACTGCAACTTCTGCAACTTCTGCAACACCATCCTTGCGGTATCAATCGTACTGTCTCACTTTTTGTTTTCCTTCCCCTCCTCTCTCATCTTCTCTTCTCTTGCCATACAGTTTTATTAATATGATCTAAGTTCTAAATCATGAAGATTACCATTGATGTATGAGCTAACTCTTAGCTAAGCTATTAGAACATCAACAAGACTCTATTATGGTAGTAAGTACATGAGATGTGTAGCACAGAATGGCAACTGATCTCTTATATATAGACTCTCGTTCAGACCTACTTGAGATGGTTGTCATGGAATTCTTTGCATCAGTCACAGTAAAATTCTCTCTTCTGGTCTCTATTAATAGAGCACGGTTACACAAGGTAGTATCAGATGATCTGACACAATCTCTTATGATGTCTAATATAATTGGGCTTATTCATGTGAACAATCCTTCACTTGCAATTTGATGATCTACTCATGACAGTAGCGATCCCACCTTTACTAGTCTAAAAGATCTGTTAATTATATCAGATTGAGTTGATGAATGAAGAATTTTTCCATTGCAAAGCTACAAAGATTTATTTTCTGGTTGACAATGATTCTGTGGATATAAACCACTACATAAATCTCTTCTAAAAGAGCCTGTGTGAGAATAGCAATCTACATGTTCTATGCTTAGAAGAAACAGGATGCAACTATTTTGGTAAGGAGAGGATTTGTTCTTGCTCTCCATCCAGATTTGGAACTTTTCTCCCATGATGCAGCAGATTTCATCGTATTGTTTGGTAGTCCTACCAAAAATGGCTCTGTTCGTATCTCCCAAATCCACTGTTCTTACAACTTATTTGGCAAAACTCTGTCGATCACTTGCCAGTTACCAAAGATGTGGCTTTTCTCTCTCCCCACTTCCTTGTTGAGAGCTACCGCAGTGGGTTAGTACTGGCCATGTCGTTTCCGTCTCTTTCCTCGGTCATCAATGCCTTGTCTGCTTGTTTTCTGTAGCTTTGAATCCGAAGGAGAAGGCCGGGAAGATGCAGAAAGGCGATGAAAGATGTATTTTGCTTTTGCCTTGATATGCCTGCATGCATGTCTTTCTTCTTTCTTCTCCTGTTGGGTTCTACTCCCATTTCACCTCGTTCCTTTTCCATGTCCGGTTCATTCATCTTCTCTCTCTCTCTCTCTCTCTCTCTCTCTCTCTTCAGATAGATGCACTGTGATGACACTTCTTGGATTTGCTTGGAGATCTAGTCTTGGTTTTGGGTCAATCAATCGTAATCTTTCTGCTGGTTCAGCTCAAACCATAACCCAACTCTCTCTCCAAGCTCAAGAACAAGCTGAAACCAACTCACTTAACATTGATTCTGATCTCATGTGGTGCAGGTTAGTGTCCCCGGGAACAGCTTGTTCAACATTGTCACAGTCCGATGCGGCCATTGCTCTAATCTGCTGTCTGTGGATATGCGAGCTTTGATTCAAACAAACCCTTTTCAAGGATTTCCGGTACGAATCAATCTAATTCATCGAACATGCATACTGTTCTCTAGAAGATTATTCTTCATCCATAGAAACAAAAACACTACGAAGGCTTATATGTTGGCTTTGATGCCAATTCGCACAGTGTTCAATGGCATCTAAGTTCTTTAATGGATGTCATCTTAGAATAATATGGACGTTGTTGTGTTGCTTGGATGCTGCAAATGGTTACTTTTACTGAAGATATCAACATGAGATGTTACCTCTAAGAAATATGTAACTTAGTATCATGCAGAAGAGAAAGGAAACTTTGTGCTTAATCATTTTTTCGGGGAAAAAAATTGCAGATATGCAACATAGAATCTCAAGGAAATGGGATGGAATGTGGATTACCTTCCAAGAGCACCATGACTTCCTTGTTGTACACAATGCCAAAGGATCAAGAGCAAGAACTCCCCATTCGCGGTAAGCTTTCGAGCCTCTCTAAGTTAATCCCTTCTGATTTGCACAAATGATTGAGATAATGTTGTTTTCCTAGTTCATTAAAGACAAATATACATTTCAGTGATTAGTAGAGCAAATAGTGTGTATCATTAGTTTCATTTGTGGATGTTCAACCCCTAAAAGCTGAAAGATTTTTTTTGTTATAAGGTGTATTCCTTATTTGATTAGAATTCCCAAAATTGTGACTATGCTGCAACACATTTTTCTCAACTATATCATGTATGATAGAAAGATTAGCAAGACTCGAGCACAATATTACAGCATCATTTAGCCTAGTAATTTGTTTTCCTTTTTCATTTTTTAGCTCCCGGGAAGAGACAACGCGTACCTTCAGCGTATAACAAGTTTATCAAGTGAGTTTTCTACGTATTCGAGTGCATTGTTTCTGTAACATTTGATCCCAACAATAGCAACTGTAGAACTTAAGTAAATCTTAGTAGCTCTAATGTAGTATTTACTCTCAAGTATGTCATTTTCCATATGCAGGGAGGAAATACAAAGGATAAAAGCTAATAATCCACACATTAGCCACAAACAAGCATTTAGCACTGCAGCGAAGAATGTAAGTTTTTTTCTTTTTTTTTTTCAATGGAAGGAAACAAAGAATGTAAGTAATACAGTAAAAAAATAAAATAAAATCATTACACAGTTGTGAGAGAATTATTTGAATTAGGTACTTTGGACCCCCATATAGCAAATTCACATTGAGACGACCATAGTGATATATACATATATAAATATTAGTGAAAATATATCTACGTTATCGACGATTTACTTGTCGATAATTGTAAGGTATAGTTATGCCAACTTAAATCCTGCCTTACACATACTTGAACTCTCATTTGTAAAAAGAAATATTCAAGATCTGTGTAATTAACTCTCTTTTACCTGTCAATTTCTTTTGAAACCCCTCTTCCTCAGTCCTGCAAGATAGTCTTTGTTTAGATCAAACACTAAACATTTGGATGCTTTCTTTATCAAATGATTTTAGATAGTAGCCAATATTTTTTTTACTCTAAATCAGACAGACCACATTATATTAGAACTTTTTTTCAAACATTACATCCTTTGTCATGCAGAGCAATTTCTATATGTGACCAATTGAAGCAATGGCCTAATTTTACAAGTTAAGCTTCACAAGAACAGCAACAGTCATGTAATTTGTTCATAGTATTTTTCAATAAAATAGTGGCTTCAGTTCATGTCACTACATGACAATTAATATTTTTGTGTTTATTTACACCAAATCTAAAACTCATAAGGTAAAAATTTGTCCCTCTTTTGTTGTCACTGCAATCTTTATATCAATTATCACATCAACATCTAACCTTCCATACTATTTTTTGGGTTCTCTGATATGTATTTTTCCTTTCTTTATTTAAACTTCTTCTTCAATGCTGTTTGGTAGGGAAAGTGTAGAAAATGAAAAACCAATTTTACATGCTTCATTTTTCTTCAGAAAATGAAAAGATAATTTCCCAATACTTCTTAGTTATGACTTTTCGAAACATTTCTTAACCAAATAACTTGAATTAAAGTATCATGGAAACCTCATCCTACATTTTTCTTACAAGCAAACCAGTCATTATTATTATTATCATTGTCATAAAGCTTTCGAATCCTTATTTACTCATGATGAAGCTAAGCTTCTTTCTACTTCCCTTGCAGTGGGCACACTTCCCTCACATCCATTTCGGGCAGACCTTTGATGGCAACAAGCTAGCAAAGCTTGATGAACCAGTTGCTGCACCAGGGTGTCAAAAGGGTCAGAGTTTCTTCTGAGGGTTTGGCTACATGAACAGTGAGTATATATATGCTGCTGTTCTTGAAGTTTCTTTCTGCAAGTCAAGATCAAGTCCATTCAACTACCTTTGCCATGGATAACTGTAATAAAGAGAATCCCCTAAGCACTTTCTCCATGTTCAGTTTGGCAATCTTCTATCCTATACCAATCCACACCAAGTTAAATTTTATCTCTGTGGCAAAGTTTCTCTCATGTCAACTCATCAGCAGTGATGAGTTACTGTGTGTCCATCCAAGTAGGTGCATGTTTCTTTTTCTTTCATCTGGATGATACCTAATCTACAGATCTAACTTATCTTGATAAGTTCTCTAGCTGACCTCTTTCGAGGTAATTGTGCTTCTTGGGAGCCACGAAAAGGACCCTACGGATTCTAGGCTATGTTCATAGAGCTGAAGCTGTACTGAGTAGATAGATCATAATCCAATCACAGCTAGGGTTTTCTGGGGTAACTGACTTCTGAGTAGCTTTGGATAGCTGCTATAGCCTATGAGTCCTTCGTCTATGTTCATAGGCTTGGACTCGTGATGAACTCCTCATCTGCTATTGCCATGGTGTTGTCATTCTCTACTGCATGCACTAAATGTCATCATATCAATCTATCTTATGGAAGATTTATAATCAAAATGAAGCAGCAAACTGAAAGAAAGCTTGACGGATATCCATCCAAGCCTGAATGACTGTTTTGATATTTAACATGTAGGAATTTAACGTAAAATAAAGGCATATAGATTTGATGTGTATAAAGAAGAATATTTCCTCATCTTATTTTCGAAGTTTTTGCATGATAATTCACATATAAAATAAGAAAAATACTTCCTTCATTGATTCGTAGGCGTGCTAATGCATGAGAGAGAGAGAGAGAGAGAGAGAGAGAGAGAGAGAAAAGTGGTGATGAAGTGTCGCTGTCAACAACGATTCAGAATGTGGAAGGGTTAGTAACTCACATCAAGCCAAGAACACGCTCTCCCTGAATTTTCTCTTTCTCCTCTCCTTGGGATTCCTCATGACACACGATGCTGACTCGAGCGTGCAGCAGCAGCAGAGGAGCAGGCCTGCTGCAAAAGAAAGCCAACCAGAGACTTACCTTTCAAGAGCAGATGAGTGTGTACGCACTGTTCCTGCTTACCATTGCACATGGAATGGTGGATCCCAAAGACATGTTGAGCTTGTGGGCATCAGGATATCCTCGACGCCACGCCCCAATCTGCTATCTCAAACGAGAAAGCACAATTCATGATGACACCGAGTTAACAGCAACAGTGGAGAGACATGAATGTTAATTGTGGACTCACAAGAAGCAGTGGACTCGATAATGACACGATGATATGATGGGTGTAAGAGTAGACTTGAGATGGCTTTGTGGAAGGTTGCTGCCGAGGGATGCAGGCAGCGGAGGGCTGTTGTTGTGGTGGTGGTGGTGGTGGTCGTACATGCATGGCGGAGACACGTTTACGACGGCAGGCGACGCCATGACTGCCCACCCTCCTGCTGAACCATGAAACTCGCGCTCTCGCTGCTGCTCCTCGGTTGGCCCTCTGTGTTGCAGAACCAGAGAGAGTGAGAGAGAGAGAGAGAGAGGATGTCCGCCAACTCTTTTGTCCCAATCTCTCGTTTCTTTTGCTCGTCCGGTATACAAGAAGTAATTCTCGGAGGCTCGCAGCTTAAATTTCCTTGATTTAAAGAAGGGTACGATGATGATGATGATGATGATGATGATGATGATGATGATGATGGTACTCTCTCTCTCTCT